CTCTTCCTCATCGAATTATTTACCTCAATTCCAAAATTATAAAAAACAACAGGAAAAGAAAACTATTAATTTCATTTCCGATAATGGGGAAGATTACAATGAACTGTTTTCTATTCATGAGCTTCATACAGCTCTTGATCAAGCTCATGATACGGCTACAGGTGCTGATAACATACATTATCAGCTCCTGAAACACTTACCGGATTCATGCTTAGAAACCCTTTTAAACATTTTTGATGATATTTGGACTTCTGGACAATTTCCTTCTTCATGGCACGATGCTATTATTGTACCCATCCCTAAACCTGGACGTGATCATACTGATCCTTCGAATTATCGACCAATCTCATTAACTAGCTGCGTTTGCAAGACCATGGAGCGCATGATAAATAATCGACTTGTGTGGTACTTGGAAACTAATAACCTTATAACAGACATTCAATGTGGTTTTCGTAAAAACAGAAGTACTATCGATCATTTAGTGCGTTTAGAATCCTTTATTAAAATGCCATTATTAAAAACAACATGCAGTGTCGATCTTTTCGATTTAGAAAAGCATATGACACCACATGGAAACATGGTATTTTAAGAGATTTACACGATTTTGGATTGGTGAGGCCGTTTGCCTCTTTTTTATATCACAGTTTTTAACGGACAGGCAATTTCAAGTTCGAGGGTTCTACCCTGTCTGATCATTACAATCAGGATCAGGGTGTCCCACAAGGCAGTATTTTATCTGTCACACTCTTTAGTATTAAAATAAATAGTCTGTCAAAGGTTTTAAGTGATTCAATCGATGGATCTCTTTCGTGGATGATTTTAATATTTCTTGCCGTGGTAAAACATGCGAACTATTGAGAGACAATTACAAATTTGTCTCAACAAAATTCATAAATGGTGTCTTGAAAATGGGTTTAAATTTTCGAAATCCAAAACCAACTGTCTACATTTTTGTAGGAAATACAAACCCCATAAAGATCCTGAATTATCTCTAAATGGCACACCCATCAAAGTTGTCAAGGAAGCTAAATTCCTTGGTCTCATCTTTGATTCGCATTTAACCTTTCTGCCACATATCAAAATCTAAAAGCCAAATGCCTGAAAGCACTCGACTTGTTGAAAGTCGTTTCCAGTTCAAAGTGGGAGGGACCAAACCACCCTCCTTCATTTGTATAGATCACTGGTCCGATCAAAACTTGATTACGGCTCTATCGTATATGGTGGGGCCTGTAAAAGCAATCTCAAACTACTTGATTCTATCCATCACCAGGGTCTAAGACTTTGTCTTGGGTCTTTCAGAACCTCTCCCATTGACAGTCTCTACGTTGAGGCCGATGAGCCATCTTTAAAACTTCGCCGTATCAAATTGTCCCTACAATATATCACAAAGTTATATTCTAATGAATCCAATCCTGCTCACACTTGCGTTTTTAATCCTCTTTATGAGGACTTGTATGATAAAAAACCTTCACTTGTTCCACCTCTAGGGATAAGAATCCAACAATATATTTCTGCTGCTGGCATTGAGTTGGAGAATATATCTCCTTCCCGTCTTCTTTCTTCTCCCTCCTTGGTAATTAGTGAGGCCACAAGTTGACCTAACACTGACAAAGTTTAAAAATCAGAAACAAACGAATTACAGTATAAACAAGAATATAATCAATTAAAGAATAACTATAATACATACAAATCCTTATTTACAGATGGGTCCAAGGATGGTGGCGCGGTGGCATGTGCCACTGTCATTGGATCCAGAACAATATCTTCTCGAATACCTGATAACAGCTCTATATTTACAGCTGAAGCAAACGCCATCTTCACAGCTCTTAAAATATATTGAAAGACATCCCAAACATAAACAATATATAATATTTTCTGACTCTCTTCTTGCCTTCAGGCGATTAAAAATCTCTTGCAAACATCCACTTTTAATTGAAATAATCGAATTATATAATGATCTTGCTACTAGCCAATGCGACATCGTCTTTTGTTGGTTACCCAGCCACGTTGGCATTTCTGGGAACACAATGGCTGATCTTGCTGCCAAGGCAGCGCTCAACAAATCTGTGACACCACTTCTTATTCCATATTCTGATTATAAAGCTGGCATTAGAACTTACATCCGTGATCTGATGCAAAAGAAGTGGGACACCCAAGTAGGTATAAATAAATTACATGAAATAAAACCTTATATCGGTTACACTTACTTGGGCTGTCAGTCCAGATTTGAAGAGGTCATCATGCGACGATGTCGTATTGGCCATACAAGGTACACTCACAAATATTTGTTAAATGGTGAAGATCCTCCGTTTTGTATCCCTTGTGATGAGAGAGTCACAGTCAAGCATCTCCTGCTTGACTGTGTTGAATTCTCCATCATAAGGGATAAATATTTCAATGTTAAAACTGTTAAGGATCTTTTTAACTCTGTTCATCTTCATTTAATTCTTGGTTTTTTTAAAAGAAATTGATTTCATTAATGAATTTTGATTAATATGTTCTGTATATAGCTGTGTTTTAATAATTGGTAGTTTGATTAGTAACTTAGATTGTTAGTGGCTGTACTCTCAAGGGGGGTTGAAGTATCGTAAAAATATTGTCCCCCTGAGAGGGTACGTAAGTCCCAAAACTTCGAAAGTCAATTTAAACTTACCAGGATTTTTAAACGTAGCATTTTTGTCATTTTAATTGTAGCTAACATTTCTTACAATCGCCAGCAGCTGAAGGGATGGTGTAAATCCAACTAGGGTCCATGCAGGTAGCCAAGGTACTGTAAGTCCCCATGGTCCCTAGTATGGTGATCGACCTTCAGTTGTTGGCGATCTATAGCCTGTTTTTATCTTGTATTGTCCTAATAGTGCTATTAGTTTTAACCTTCCACACTAGTTTTAAATCTAATTGTGATATTCTAGTTGTTTTACTGTCCTTCGATGACAGGTTTTATAATATATACATATTCCATTACAATGTAAAATGTTTTCGTCACGATATGGCTGAAATATTGCCGATGTGACGTTAAATATTAACTCACTCACTCACTCACTCAGATCTGAGTATCTTGTCCAAGGATACTACGCAATTATGCCCATCTCGGGTACCGAACCTCTGTGCCTCCTCGAAACCGGGCCTTTAGCGTGATAGGCAGACGCCTTACAACTGCACTATTGCGCTATCTCTTGGATAATGGTATACCCTCAGATAGTATCATATAAAATATGTTCAGCATAGTATTGGATGACTTCCCGTCATCATCAACATTCAAAGATTTGGATTGCTTGATTTACATTTAGACGGGGACTGTATTATTTAGGGCATCCTCATTTTAAATTTTCAAACACATGGTGTCCAGATATATAATATATTGAGGGCTGACACTTGTGTGACCAGTCAGTATTTAGTTTGAACCCTTGACACCATGTATGAATAAGTGAAAACTTTAGGATGAGTTGATGACGTCAACTGAAAGGGGGTGGGTAGTGTCTCCAAAACAAGCCCTTTCAGTAAACATGAAGTGGGAGTCAGTTGAACAAGCGATTATAGTTTAAAATTGCTTTTTTGTGCAGTTTAATATCTAAGTTTGACTTTTACCAACATACAACATATTTTGTTTCAATTGGTGTAGGGGGATTCCCGCCAATACACCTTGATATAATATTGGTTCAAAATCTATTAATTCTTTCCTAAGTTCGCGGCTACCAAGCTTGGCATGTGCAAAACTGTAACACCTTCGCTATGACCTTTAAAACGACCTCAAGGTCACTAAATTCAAGTGGTGTCGGTAATCTTGTCAAAATAAACCTTGGTACCAAATTTGAACAAAATTCATCATTTCTTTCTCGAGTTCTTTCAGTAAACCGAAGGGGGAGTTATTTGAACAAGCGATTGTAGTTTCAAATTGCCTTTTTGTGCAGTTTAATATCTAAGTTTGATTCTAGCCGACCTCTACCACTCTCAAACATACAAAAATGTTTCTTGCATATTTTGTTTCCTGAAGTTTAATTTGTGATGCATTTCATTGCTAGTCAGCTAGGCTATTCCATTTGTCCGAACCACAACATACGGAGACAGATCATTTAGCAGACCGGGTGCTGTACTCTGGAATTTTTTACCTGAAAATGTCAGAAAATCGGAAAATATCAACAGTTTCCGATCTTGTCTCAAAACCATCCTCTTCAAACGAGCATTCGACTAAGCGCACATGAGCAGGACTCTGGATATGTAGCGCTATACAAATGTCGAATTTGATTTGATGTGATTTGACATACCCGTTAGAAACCCACAGCCACACCCACCCCACCCCACTTTATATTTATACATATCAAACCTCAAAAGATATTTGCGAAAAGACATGATACAGAGGAAAGTCAGAGATTTTATATCGATTATATATCAGGACGAATATCATTTTCGTCATTTGGCTAACATTTGTCAGTTCTTTCTTGGGTTATCGCGCTAACAATCTTTATATTGGCAAAACCCTCAGATTTTTGCTGTGACCTTGAAAATTATCTCAAGGTCACTCCATTTCACTTGTGTCGGTGAATCTCGCCAATATACCTTTGTACCAAGTTTGAACAAAATCCATCATTTCTTTCTTGAGTTATTGCCATAACAAGCTTATTTGATGTATGAAATGCAACGAAAAACAAACATCCACGTATTTACGAGTGATTAATACTGTTATTACAATTTACGTAAATATTTATTACATTTAACCGCGACGAAAATTATTACAATTTACGTCAATTTGTATTACAATTTGCGTATTACAATTTACGTCAATTTTTATTACAATTTACGTTTTTATTACAATTTACGTCAAGTTTATTACAATTTGCTGCAAGTATTACAATCTGCGTTTTAATTACAATTTACGTCGTGCCAGCCTATTTCCTGTGTGCCACACGGTAATATTGCTGGAATATTGATGTTTGTTTTTTTGGGGGGGGTTCTTTTTGTTTGTATTTTTTCCTTTGGTTTTTTTGTTTGTTTGTTTTTTCTTCATGTTTTTATTCCCAGAATTATGTTTACAGACTTTACCTCAGTAGCACAGTACAGGTAGCTTCCTAGTATGCAAGTACTTGATCTTATTGTCAAATAACATGCTGCTCACAAATATGGTCAAAAAGGGTCGAAAACTAAGCATGTATATGAAGTGTTACATGTTTACAGATTTTACCTCAGTAGTACACAGTACAGTACAGATAGTTTCATTGTACACAAGTACAGTGTTTCCTTTGTCACTCACTCTAACATCATGCTGTTCACAAATATGCAAAATGGTCAAACTAAGCATGTACGTGAAGTATTACATGTTTACAGACTTTGGAATATTGATGTTGATCAAGGTTTTGACACGTTTTGCGCGTTCTGGCAAGACCTTCTACGGATGAAACGTGGACGCCGGCCAGCTTTGGACCACGTTTTTGCCCAGGGTATAAAAGTAAGGCCTCCCAAGCATTAGCAGCCATTGTATCCTGAAACACCAGAGCAGTACGTAGGCGAACGTGACAAAAATTGAAACGACCGTGAGATGCCGGGGAATACATAAACCTCCCGTCCTATTACGGACACACTACGGACCGTCTATAAGTTTTGTTACGGCCTCTTACGTGCTGTCATAAAATCGATCTATTATCCGACCTTACTGTTGACAGGAATCACATGAATAATACTGTGCAATATCGTCATTATCTGAACGCCTTTACAGACGCATATTCCGGAAAAACATTCTCATTAATCAGATGAACCTTCATTTAGCTCAATTCACAATTGACTGCAGAAAATGCATAATTATTTTTAATGACTTCACGGTCGGAAAACCTGTCTTATATTTCAATAGTGCATTATAGAACCCTGTAGTAGATGAACAAAGTTTCTTCGATACTCATTGATCAGATGAACCTCCATTTAATGCATAGATAGTTCTTTTCAATGTCTTCAAGGACGGAAAACATGTATTCTGCAACGCTGCAACGATTCGGCAGAGAAATACTATTGTGCTATTGTATTCCTTCTCTGAACCTATCAGTGTATACATTAGCATTCAGATATTGTTATAGTGAGTGAGTGAGTTGAGTTTTACGCCGCAGTCAGCAATATTCCAGCCATATGGCGGCTGTCTGTAAATAATCGAGTCTGGACCAGACAATCAAGTGATCAACAACATGAGCATCGATCTGCGCAATTGGGAACCGATGACATATGTCATACAAGTCAGCGAGTCTGACCACCCGATCCCGTTAGTCGCCTCTTACGACAAGCATGGGTTACTGAAGATCAATATTCTAACCCGGAAATTCACGGGTTTTTACATCATTGGTATTGTCCGATTAATGGAGCATAGTTTTAATGACTGTAATTTATCTGTGCATGAGCAGTGAGTAGTTAAGTTACAGTAGCAGCAGGAACGAAGCGTTCGTTGTTATAACGAAGAATGTAAGTAATGGTGTTACTCTCTATATTGGTTAAACAGACGTAAATTAAATAGCTTGAGGTCGGTTTTAATGTCTTATTACCAACTGTTCAAGTTTTCTATAATAATCTCTATCAAATCGTGATTGAATAATCAGAAAGTTGACCCGAATGTATATATTTCGTACATTTCCGGGTACTCGATTCCGATTCGGGGACGTACATGCGGGTACTCGATTCCATTTTTCTCCTACTCGTCCCAGCCCTACTGAAGTCCTCATACATTTTAGCATCTAATTACAACTTGTCTTTGTCACCGATACCAAGTGTCTAGATAAAGTCAAACGAAAGATATTTGGGATGGAAACAACTGCTGTGCTCGAAAGACAACACCTGTTTGAAATGTAAACAAAGACAATTTCAGACTTTACACTGTGTAGCATTTTCTCAAATTTTCAGACACCCATTTGCATGGAAAGAGCATAGTAGCAAGAAATAGGAAATTGATAATAGATACAATACAGGAATGTGATGTGTTTACAAACTTAAGTTTCTGTGCTGCGTCACGCCATGACTGACGCAAAATAACGCAGAACGACAACGGTAATAATCGGCATTTCTGGCTTCTTCTCTTTCTTAAAATGGGAGTGTATTTGGCAATTTCTCTGAGGTGAAGGTCGGTAGAATAAGAGTATACACAATCACCATATCCCGCCGATTACACTTTCAGTATCATAATGTAATCGTTCGGATATTTGTTCATGAAACTAATTTAATTATCTACATTTAGCCCAATATCATATCATACGTGGGTATAGGGTGTACGTGTTATATTCTTTGAAAGTGTTTGTTTGAATAATATTTACAGAGGAATTCACACATTTAGTGTAGTAAACCATATATAAACCTTTCCACAAGTGTTAAGAGACGAAACGTAGGCATCATGTACTTGTACAACATGAAGTTAAGTTCCTATACTGTGCATAGTTACAGTTTCGTGTGTAAGTCTTCGTCAGAATAATTTCCAATATCGAAGTCCAGTCCACGATACATCCTATCCTTTCTTTGCTGAACTGGCATCATGAAAGCAGTGTTAGCCATGAACGCCATTTGCGAGTAAACCACACTGTTAAAAAGTTAGCGGCAGTCCTTAGGTGTGTTAACTTAACGTCACGTTAACAGCCTGTTGAAAGTTAACAAAGTTTTAAACAACAAGATAACCCTCTGCTATTAGGTAACAGTCGGTTAAATGTACTTAACGGCTGGTTAAAAGATAACCGAGTTTTGAACAACCGGGCCCAGATGAATAAATGCATTTGAGGGGTGACTTCACAGGAGGAAATTAAACGTTTTAACAACATTCGTAAATATTCGAAGTACAAACTGTAGTATTGAAATACAGACTATAATTATCCATATAGCCTCAACTAATTAAATTTCATAAATAATTGTAAAAGTATTTGTTTTTTTGAACATCTATTTGTGAATAAGATGGAACTCTTGTAGTAGTTTTTTTTCAAAATAATTACGTAAAAAAGTCTTAATTCAGATCGCACAGATAACCTTGTTCACCCATAGAAGTTTCTCTTCGTGTATGAGCATTGAACTGGCAACATGCCACTTGATATCTCTGAAGAACAATTAATTTCAAATTTATACCAGTATTTCATACTGGAGAAACAGAGGGGGAAACCTCTCGTCTGGGACAGGGTTTACTCTAGAATGTGTTAAGCCCTTAATTTGACATATAGACAGGTTTATAAAGTTGTAAACAACTCAGTTACCTCAGGGGTCGTGTCAAAATCAAAACAATGTAGGAAACACAAACTGGATAGCTTTGATAAGGGTGTCATACGCCGTGCAGTTTATAAACTGTATTAACGCGATATCCCACCGACGTGTGCTAAAATACAAGATGAGATCAAAGATGCAATAAATGTCTCAAAAACAAAACTTATTGTAGCTCTGGTAGAAATGGGGTTCAGGTACACCAACAGGGGAGATGACAAGGCTGTGTTTAGAGAAAGTATTCAATCCTTTCCATCCGATCAGCTTATCTCAGAACAGTTGAAGAATACCGCAATTTGGGGTTTCAAATCTTATACCTTGATGAAACCTGGTGTAACAAAAATCACTCAACCTATCGGATGTGGCTTCCTTCAGATTGTTCTAAGGCACCAGTGTTACCATCAGGCAAAGGCAGACGCCTGATCATCTTGCATGCTGGTAACCGTAGCAAGGGACTGATTGGGGGTTGTGACTTTGTTTTTGAGGCCAATAAATCTGATGGTGATTACCATAGCAAAATGAATGGGCAGGTATTTTCGGATTGGTTCGAACATCAGCTTTTACCGCAGCTGGACAAATCCAAGTGTTATCATTTTGGATAACACCAGTTACCATAACCTGCGTGTCCCTGGTACCATCACACCCACCATGAGCAATCTCAAGGCTCAATTGCAGGATTTTCTCACTTCCTGTCTCTTGCCTTACAGGCAATAGAAACAGAGCCCCATCTCATGGAAAAAACCTGTTGTAATTTCGCTAGAGTCCTCGACCAGCAGTGATACTGATACTTGATATTTTGAGACGGTCCCTGACCTGCAATGCCCCTGCGTTACATAACGCTGTCACCGTGTCTGCCTGCCAGGTGGGTCACAATATAGTTTGTTTCTGAGAAGTGTTTCTACCATGGAATATTTTCTAAGTTTTTCGATATTTTACGAGTAACCATTATGATCAGGGAATGGTACATCGTGATTACTCATATGTCATATTAGGTCGAGGTGGTATGAATGATGACTATATATGAGTTTTGAATCTGAAATATCAACCATTATCAAATAATTGCCAAGAAGCATTTTCCAAGCATTTCTGGCCTTACTTTAGTAAGATACAATTATTCCACGCCTCGTACCGTATGTTTATACAACGGAATCTCCGACGATTGTCAATATATATACTCCTCAGAAAAAGTTAGGCAACACAAATTTGTTGTCTCATTACGTTTTCATTTATTGAAATTGCAAATCATGGAATGATGCAGTAGAAAGGCGAATCATATGTACACCCGATAAACAAAATGAAATGAAATGGTATTCAGCAATAATAGACTTACACGTCATCAAAAGCATGTACCCGTCAAACAGTCGTGCAAAATCTGCTGCATTGATGGAACAAATTGTTAACATTAAGGTTCAAGTCAGTTTTGGACAGTGAAGCAGTGTTCAGTAACGCGTATGACCACCATGAGCACAAATGCAAGTTCTACACGTCTTGGCATTGACCAAATGAGCCTTTACAGTTGCTGTTGTAGAATGTTCTGCCATTCTCTCTGTAACGCCTGCTCAAGGTCATCCAGAGTCTGGGGGTGAACATGGAGACCGTAAACACGACTTCTAATAATGTCCCAAGCATGTTCAATGGGATTAAGATCAAGTGACCTTGCAGGCCAGTCCATATGTTTGATGTTGTTGATCTAAACAACATCGTTAACAACTCTTTCTCAGGCATTAGCATCCATGGACGGGCATTATCATCAATACAAATGAAGTTAGGACCCGCTTGTTGTGCCAGAGGAATGATTACAGGTAGGTTTACACATGTGTGAAGAGTGGAGCACATTCATGCCACAAAATTTTGCATATTGTTTCTGAAGGCGGTTGTGTTCGGGTGATGATGTCAATATTATCAGATAAGTCAATTTGACAGTCACTAAAGGTTATGTATTCTTTGAATATTTACTATTATGTAACATGTCGGCAAAAATCGCTATCGACATTGATAAAGATATTACACTGAAAATACTTGTTGCTTATTTTTTTGTGAGGAGTATAGTTGTTACAAGCGATAGTTAAGAGGTCATACTCCCGCCGCCTTCGCCTTACCACCACCAAAGCGTCCGGGGACAGCGTCCCTGTTATCGTTTAATCTAGCAAAAATCGATAGATAAGAGGGTCATTACTATGAGGACGTATTGGAAGCTCCGTAGGTTTTACACTGGGTGATACGTGATAATGTGAGTTGATTAAAACCGGTTTGATGGATACACATATATATTTATTAAGATGATTTGATAAAATGATTTTAATAAATGACTGTGTGTTGACTGAGTTGACGTAATGTAATAAAGTTTGATTAATATACGCAAAATTAGTACAAATCAATAGATAAAAGGGTCAGTAGTGCGAGGACGATTCGGAAAATCCATTGGTTTAACATGTGGACCAAACAATCCTGTGATACGGGATAATGTGAGCTCCAATACTACTAATGATGCCCTACTTTGATTTGTACCATGCTTAACCGATTTATTCAGGTAAACATTTGCCGCGCCTTTGCTTTTTTCGGGTAGCACAGGTGGGACAGGATACGCTCAGCTTTTCCCCCAGATCTTGTATTATAATTATTTGATAGTGATTCATCAAGATATGCTATTCGCATCATTCATCAAGATATGCTATTCGCATCATTCATCAAGATAGGCTATTCGCATCATTCATCAAGATATGCTATTCGCATCATTCATCAAGATATGCTATTCGCATCATTCATCACGATGTGCTATTCGCATCATTCATCAAGATAGGCTATTCGCATCATTCATCAAGATAGGCTATTCGCATCATTCATCAAGATATGCTATTCGCATCATTCATCACGATGTGCTATTCGCATCATTCATCAAGATATGCTATTCGCATCATTCATCAAGATATGCTATTCGCATCATTCATCAAGATATGCTATTCGCATCATTCATCAAGATATGCTATTCGCATCATTCATCAAGATATGCTATTCGCATCATTCATCAAGATATGCTATTCGCATCACATGCGTGAAGCCTTGAACAATGAAGCACATACCCGGGGATAGAATTGGTCTTCAGCAACCTATGCTTGTCGTAAGAGACGACTAACGGGATCGGGTGGTCAGGCTTGCTGACTTGGTTGACACATGTCATCGGTTCCCAATTGCGCAGATCGATGCTCATGCTGTTTATCACTGGATTGTCTGACCCAGACCCAGAGTGCGGCGTTGGACAACAAAGAAAGCAAGCCCGTCTCCCCACACCCGTGCACTGTTGTTATTCTTTTAAGAACCCAACATCTGCTTCCGTTTAGTTTTGTCAGCCTATCAGCCTATCATCAAGAGTTGTCCCATTCTAAACGCACCATATTTCCTCTGTAAGGCACTGGGAAATCTATAAAAAAATGAGTGAGTGAGTTTAGTCTTGCGCCGCACTCAGCAATATTTCAGCTATATGGTGGCGGTCTGTAAATAATCGAGTCTGGAACAGAAAATCCAGTGATCAACAGCATGAGCATCGATCCACTTACAGCAACTTTAAAGGCTTCATTTTCCTACTGAAACCCCTTTTTAAACCCCGGTTCTTCGGGGTTTCTTTAACCACTAGGCTATCCCACCGCCCCCGTCATTCTGGATATTTCACCAATGCAGTGGTCATTAATTATCATGTGACCTAGTGATGGAGGCTGTACAGAGGTGTTACAAATGCACTTACAGATAATATGATATTACATTTCTAATATGAATGTCAAGGTAACACCCGTGATGATCCCGCTTAGAACAGGGGGCCCGGCCCACAAAGTTCTCATAAGCCTAAGATCTTGAAACCCAGCATTCGTACTTCCTATACTGTTATATTGACTTACGATAGTCGTAACGCTACGAGACTGACTGACTGAGTTTGGTTTTTACGCCGCTTTTAGCAATATTCCAGCAACATCACGGCGGGGGACACCAGAAATGGGCTTCACACATTGTGCCCATGTGGGGATTCGAACCCGGGTCTTCGGCGTGACGAGCCAACGCTTAACCATTAGGCTACCCCACCGCCCCTAACGCTACGAGAGCTTTGTGTCGTAAAAGAGAACTTACAGGATCGTGTTTTCTCCTTCGCTGAACTGGTTCATGCATGTCATCGTATCTCAAATTGTGTAGCTTGTAGATGATGCCAATCACTGGATTGTTTGGTCCAGACTCGATTGTTTACTCCCGTCAGACAGTTGAAATATTGCTGCGTTGAGTGCAGCGTTAAAAAACAAACTTATTTTGTTTTGGAAGCTAATACCTAGCAATGGCTATTATATTGTGTGTGACCATAAAGCATTCGTGTTGAAAGATTCACTGTGCAGAGCACTCTCCTACCCAGAGTTCCGTGCGGCAAGGCAGCATAGTACCTCTGCCACAGGCCAGAAAAATGTGACGATTCGTCACATCTTGCAATGTCCATTCAATATAATGTACAGATTTCTTTTACTCTTTTATTTTTGACGAGTGTACGCATCTAACTAATCATCTTTAATAGAATTGTTTAGTTTCACTGAGAAAATATCCAAAAACATGTGACACTATTTCGATTTGCGTAGCGATCCTTTGTTTACATAGGTTGTACGGCTCCACGTGCTGTCATCGAAGCTGATGGAGAGCAAACGATGCAGCCAGTTTGATATCTAAATATGTACTGTCAAAGACCTTACTGTCGCAGTTGTGGAAGAATATATATGTAACAATGTAAAACGTTATGAAGAGAGCGACGAAAAGCTTTCGTGAGTCCAGTCTCTTCTTAAATGAATATGCGCGTTTGTTTACAAACAAGAGAAAAGTCCGGTCACGTGATTTGCAAATTAGCTTGTGGCAGTGATGTTATGTTAGTCATCGCTGTGCCGGAGTGTGTATGCAGAGTTGATCATTTGTTCAACTGTAATATACACATCTCACATACCTTTTTTCACTCGCATTTGACACGAAATGGAAAAAGGAATGCTGAACAAACACGTTTATACCGAACTGACGGATATAACGAACTGTTATTTTTGGCCCGACCACTTGCTGCTTTTTATAGTCGAATTGAATATAACGAACTGACTGATGTAACGAACTATTATTTTTGACCCGACCACTTGCTGTTTTTTATAGTCGAATTAAATATAACGAACTGATGGATATAATGAACTATTATTTTTGACCCGACCACTTGCTGTTTTTTATAGTCGAATTGAATATAACGAACTCACGGATATAACAAACTGTTATTTTTGACCCGACCACTTGCTGTTTTTTATAGTCGAATTGAATATAACGAACTGACTGATGTAACGAACTATTATTTTTGACCCGACCACTTGCTGTTTTTTATAGTCGAATTAAATATAACGAACTGATGGATATAATGAACTATTATTTTTGACCCGACCACTTGCTGTTTTTTATAGTCGAATTGAATATAACGAACTGACGGATATAACGAACTATTATTTTTGACCCGACCACTTGCTGTTTTTTATAGTCGAATTGAATATTTCGAACTGACAGATATAACGAACTATTATTTTTGACCCGACCACTTGCTGTTTTTATAGTCGAATTGAATATAACGAACTACTGTTATAACGAACTAAAACAACCGTAGTGTTCTGTTTTTGCATTCCTACATAATAGTCAGATTCCATTCATAGAAAACCTTTTAATCCAGAAACGACAGAATCAATGTATATTCGCAGGAAGGAGAGACCTCCTAACAAAATATCAGAACGATCTTATCCTGATCCTTCCAACTGTAATTGTCATCGTGGTTCGGGGTTCACCGTGCATCCTTCCTGTCATTTCATGAACGTCATGCTTTGCTCAGGGGCTTGTAACGCTAAAAACTGCCATTAAATGTATGCACTGTCACTGACGGGGTCTTAGCACTTTTTAAAAGGAAAGGATGTTACGAGGTAAACACACCAAGTTCGCTTCGGGGAAATTCAACAATGTGTTTATCTGCGGGGCAGGTTAAGGCCAAGGTCGTCAATGGCGAACGGGCACGACACAATCCTGTGTGCGATGAATAAATGTACATAAACTCATTATGACAGTGAGGCGTAAGTGTCTCCGAAAGAATGGTGACTAGCGCGTTGACAGGTGCCATCAGTTCAACATTTTTTGGTGAATGTCGTTTGTGTATACTGTCGTGAAATAAACAAGAAAAATGGGTGAGTTACCGCTACAAATTCTGAGCAGGGATTTTGGCTTGGAATCGAGAAATCACGATTTTTCGAGCTTCCGAAGACCCTAGGTCCCAAAGTACTGCTTCGATTTGTGTGCTGTATGTCCTCATTGTGTAGATATCTATTGGTTTGAAATGTGTGCATACTTTTAAATGGGATAAACACAGTGAGCATTGTTGAATTTGCCCTGAAAACGAACTTGGTGGTGTGTTGACCTCCGTTACAAGCCCATTTCCTTTTTGTGTGTGTGCTAAGACCCCGTCAGTGACAGTACATACCTTAATCGCAGTTTTCAGCGTTACAAGCCCCTGTAATGCTTTGCTGGCCGAGTGTCATCAAAGACGTACACCATCAGCCACAGATACACTGGAACAGAAGAACGACCACTGTTTACGATATCATCGGAAAGCCACAGAAACCTTGGTGAGGTGAAATTGGGTTTAACGTAGTGCTTGAGAATATTTCGCTCATATGACGACGTGCATGCGTGTGTATGTTTATGTTCGGCTGTTGTACTAGGCCAGACTGAAGCTGGTTTTATAGTGCTAGCCCACTGAGATACCACGCCGCAGTAAAGCATGAATACCCGACTCAGACACATTATACTGACTCCGAGCCGACCAGTCCTTGTTGTACCCATTAATGCCGAGCGCCAGGTAGGGACCAACAAGTACCATATTTTAACTTCTTTCGGTATGACGCGGTCGGGGATCGAACCCGTGACCTTCCGCTCTCCGGGCGGACGCTCTAACCACTACACCACGGAGGCCGTCAGAAAACTTGGTGACAGCGTAGTTGTTATAAATCGATGAAAAGTGAACGTACCAGACAGATCCAGACGAATACCCACGGAAAGAAGAATAAGGTAATCAAGAAGTGGAGACAATGGTTAACAGACCTGAAATCCAAAGTAGAACACTATATATAATGCTATAAGTTGTCACAAGAACGTACGACGATGTTGAAATGATCTGGGAAGTACTAGAACTAACTCGCTCACGCAATTATTACTCTTTGTAATGTAAAAGTCCCGGCAATCACCGTTTGTTTGACAAGTCACTCACTCACCCATAATATTTCAACAAGGAAATGAAGGGAATTTGGTATTGTGCTGATAGTTATTGAAGTAAAAACAATCTTATTCACTCACTCACTCACTCACTCACTCATACACCCAAACACCCACCCACCCACCCATCCACTAACTCACTCACTCACCACGCACTCACGCACTCACTCACCCACTCACCCACTCACCCACTCACCCACCCACTAATAATATTTCAACAAAACACATCTGAATCTTAGACTTATTTCTATGAGACAGTTGAAACAATCAAACTTCCTAGTTCTCAACTCACTCACTCTATGTAACGTTCCGACAGACTCGGTCAGTTTTGGTCAAACAGTGTTTGTCTCAAAAAGTGGATTAATCGACATATTTGATTGAGAGTTAGTGAGTGAGTGAGCGAGTTAAAATTTATAGTCACATCGGCAATATTTCAGCCATATTGTGACTTAAAAAGTTATAAATTAACAATAAATACAATTACATTATAAAACACCTGTCAACAAAGGACAGTTTGATTGAGAGTCGCCATGACATCGAGTTAACAGGGAACCACTGAATGCAAACACAAGGACAATGTTTAATACCCTTTTTGCTTTACAATCACCGTCGAGTGCGACGTCGGTTGTTGCACGACAACGTTGTTACATGCTTGCTGTTGTTGCATCATCTACAACAACAATTTGTGATATTATAAACGTCCTTTCAGAAATTATGAAAAAGGATGCTATTGAATGCCATTACAACAAATATTTTTAGAGCCAGCCAACACCGATAAAGTTAGATAATTACAATCTAAAACACGATTGTCCGTCATGTACACTGATCTCACAAAGTGTGGTGCTGAAACAACTTCCGCCCGTTTCAAACAACATATTATGACCATAAAGATAAATCGTATAGATTGAGTGAGTGAGTTTACTTTTACGCCGCACTCAGCAATATTCCCGTTATATGGCGGCGGTCTGTAACTAATCGAGTCTGGACCAAACAATCCAATGATCAACAGCATGAGCATCGATCTGCGCAATTGGGAACCGATGATATGTGTCAACCAAGTTAGCGAGCCTGACCACCCGATCCCGTTAGTCGCCCCCTACGACAAGCATAGTCGCCTTTTGTGGCAAGCATGGGTTGCTGAAGACCTATTCTACCCCGGATCTTCACGGGTCTAAATCGTATAGAACATAGGACAGTACTGACTACAGTAATCTGTTTCTTACTCATACGGAAATCGCACTATTTTAGCATCATATCGATATCGATATGTAATTATTTTTCGTCTATACACACTGGCGCATTAATACAAAGCACCACGGTCATAGGTGACGTCATCCGGTTTGATTACTTCCTGTTACCAATACCTAGTGTGAAACTCCACTAAATAGTTCGGTTATATTTGTGGCATATCAAGGCAATGATAAGGAGGCAGGCGAGATAAAACCAAAGAGCATTCATTATACATGTACATTCTAAAACCATAAACACAGATGTATAGTCCGTTTGACTTCATTTGAGACGGATGAATTGTTCACTAACACAATATCTAATAAATGCAACAAAACCAAATTTTGCAAAGTCACATGAAATCGACAGACCAACTCTGATGATTTGTCTCATAATTTTGGACACCCTGAATAAGAAAGTTGTTTAACAAGCGATCATTATTTTGCCACTTCTTTACGGAGATCGTACGAAGATCTTGGTGGAGATCGTGAATTTTCCATGCGATGGCCATACGATTTTTGTAACTAAAAATTGTGGCATTTACCGCACAATCTCCGTGTGGTGCTCGTGCGATTCCACCTATGGAGTTGGTGGTGTACGATTTTTTCAAATTTGTCCAGCTTCGCAGTTTGACAAAAATCGTAGAGGTTACCAGCTCGATAATCTTCCAGGGTAAACGTTACGATCACTTCCACTATACCCTGGATGCATCCACGGCTTGGCCCCATAAATATATTACCTCCCCTTGGTCGGTTTTTTTCCAAACAAGTGTCTACGCCAGAAGTTGAGCGGCACCAATCAATAACTCACTTTCGCTTCTAAATTATCTAACCGTTTAAACTTGGCGCAACACAATTGATGCAGAGGTACTCTGAAAGAGGTAGAAGGAGTTCCTTCATATATTTTTGAAACTTTCAGATCTGTCAATTTTTCTGGTATTATTTCCCCAAAAATCTGAGTGGCACTGCGAACAAACCTCAACCGACTGCGACCGCTATCTTTGTTGACACTGGCGGCATTGAGCTGATTGGCTACTGTGAGAATGCGGAGCAAGCAAAGGGAGGTAATATAATTATCGGCCAAACCGTGGATGCATCCAGGGTATGCGCGGAGAGTGATCGTAACGTGTACCCTGGAGATTATCGAGGATGAGAGGTTACGTGAATCGTGCAATAATTGTGGTATATTGCCGACTGTTGCCTCACGGTATGACAGCATGGTTATAGAGCTACGGGCACTTTATGGGCGCCGTAGACCCAAATGTGAACCAGGTATAAATGGTCAATTTGAACTTGAAAAAGTCCAAACATCGCGGCCAAAACAGCTTGAAGCAAAATGTTGAGTTGGGGAAAGATATTAAACTCTTCGACCAGAAAAACGCTTACCATTGAGTGTGGATATGAATCATGGTGGATTTTTGCTCCGGCCCATAGTCCTGTTATTGGGAGGTGCGTAGCCCTGCTGCGGTGGTCCATAGCCGTGATTCTTGGACATAGCCCTGGAGCAGCACCTTCCTTTGAGGGGCTGTGGCAACTGAAGGCTGATATGGTGGTGGTTGTGCTGGAGGAACACAGTCTTTCGCCATCTTTGGCACGACGCTCTGGCTCAGGGAGAAACTTGGTGGCAGAAAAGCAATTTAATGCAGGTGACAAAACTGGAAATTGTCTCCCTCAGCGTGTAGCATTACTTAATCCGCTATTCAGTGCTTGAAACTGCTATGAACCATTATGAAACTGCTTCGAATATCTGGGGCGGCGGGGTAGCCTAGCGGTTAAAGCGTTCGCTCGTCACGCCAAAAACCCAGGTTCGATTCCCCACATGGGTACAATGTGTGAAGCCCATTTCTGGTGTCCCCCGCCGTGATATTACTGGAATATTGCTACAAGCGGCGTAAAACAAAACTCACTCACTCACTTCGTATATCTTTCTTCCTTTCTTTTATGAACAACAGTTTCGTTACAAATAAAGTTAACGTCGCGTTGGAAAAATCTATGAATTGTAAATACACAGTATTATACATGGAATCAACTTAAACTGTTATATGCTGGTTAAGAAAACACGACTATAGACAAACTGAGACTATTGGTACTACCTGATGGGTTGAGAGAAAAGGTCACTTCACAACATGCGCACCCTGTCGACAAACTCAAATGATGGGAGGAACTCTCTGCCAACAGGTAAAGCATAATTCGAGATGGAAATAACCTTGAATACATCTCCTGGCAAGTACTTTCCTGGATGTCAATGACATGTTGGTAACGGAACAATCCTTTAGATAACAGCTACAGCTGTAATTTACACGAAATTGGTTATCAACGTCTCGAATACTATCTCTCTTTACGTTGAATTTCCATATTTTATCCTTGTAACGCCTTGGTATCAGACCGAGCTTATAGTTCCTGAACGCCGAACTCCTGGCCAATGAACGACCTCTTTTGTTTTGTTCCCCGTGGATGGTGTGTTTTTGTTTTACTTCTTTGTTTCTCTTGCTACATGTGTTTGTGAGATTAAGTTATGCAAATGGCTTGTTCGAGATATTCCCGCTACCCGGCCTCTATATATCAGGTTAAATGTGGGTGGCCTAGTTGTTAAAAGCATTTGCTGGTCACGCCGAAGACCCGGTTCGATTCACCACCAGGGTACAAATGTGAAGCACATTTCTGGCGTCCCCCTGACCAAATTCACTCACTCTGTTTATAGTTTGACTGACTGAGTTTTGTTTACGCCGCTTTTAGCAATATTCCAGCAACATCACGGCGGGGGACACAAGAAATGGGCTTCACACATTGTACCCATGTGGGAATTCGAACCCGGGTCTTCGGCGTGACGAGCCAACGCTTTAACCACCAGGCTACCCCACCGCCCCTTATAGTTTGAAGATACATAATGCTGATACTTTTATATGGCAGTGTAATTTACTGAAAATATTGTATTGAAAATATAGCGTTGTTTCTGTTGGGATAGAGGGTCATGACACTGTGTTTTAACGAAGAAATAGTTGTCAGGAATGTATTACTATCTAATACAAATAGTAGTAGTGCGGATATACTACATTTATGGTGCTTTTGGAATCAAGTTTAATCTGGAATCTTCCACCACACTACTAATCCAGCATGTCAGAATACTATCTTGAAGGCATTTAGACTTCAGTGGTTTGGTTTGGTTTCGTTTAGATGTTGTTTAACGCCGCACTCAGCAATAACGCAGCTATATGGTAGCGGTCTGTAAATAATCGAGTCTGGACCAGACAATCAAGTGATTAACAGCACGAGCATCGATCTGCGCAATTGGGAAGCGATGACATGTGTCAACCATAACATGAGGGACTGAATAATTATGGTTTTACGCCGCTTTTAGCAATATGCCAGTAAAATCACTTCGGGGGACACCAGAAATGGGCTTCACACATTGTACCCATGTGGGGAATCGAACCCGGGTCTTCGAGGTGACTAACTACCCAACCGCCCTCACATAACATGAAGACTATATATAACATGTGTGAATGTCATATTTTCTCCCTGGATATCCAGATATTTGGACCACGCCCAAAATGTGAATCAAGCTCACTTTCTAATTTTTATGGACAGATGCATTGTTGATTTCAGAATAGATCAATTTTCATTGAACTTGAATTACAGCACTTTTATGTTTATCGGTAAGTATGTTTGTGGTGAGTGTATTTGTGGCAATGGATACAGGTGTGTTTCTTGAATCTCACACTGAAAATCAATAAGTTATGTACCCGAAATCGATGAAGTGTTTCACCATGGCCAGTGGCGAAGAATAGTTTTAACTGTGTCTGGGAGTATTTGCGACATTTTTAATGACATGACCAATTGAAAGATCAGAGCTACTTTGCAGTGTTACCTCTTTGAATCGGACACAACGAAGCAACCGCCTCTGTGGTGTAGTGGTTAGAGCGTCCGCCAGGAGAGCGGAAGTTCGCGGGTTCGATCCCCGACCGCGTCATACCAAAATACGTTAAAAGATGGTACTTGTTGGTCCCAGTCTGGCGCTCGGCATTAATGGGTACAACAAGGACTGGTCGGCTCGGAGTCAGTATAATGTGTCTGAGTGGGGTATTCATGCTTCACTGCGGCATGGTATCTCAGTGAGCTAGCACTATAAAACCAGCTTAAGTCTGGCCTAGTACAAGCAGCCGCACATACACATAAACACGCATGCACGTCGTCATATGAGCGAAATATTCTCAAGCACGACGATAAACCCAATTTCACCTCACCTCACACAACGAAGCGAAAGGGCAGTGAGTGATTGAGTTTGGTTTTACGCCGCTTTTAGCAGTATTCCAGCAATATATCGGATGGGTATACCAGAAACGGGCTTCACATATAACACCCATGTGGGGAATCGAACCCGGGCCTTCGGCGTGACGAGCGAACGCTTTAACCACTAGGCTACCCCGCCGCCCTGCAAGTGTACGTCCGCTTCTTGAGGTAACTGACAAGGATTGTTAGAAGCGAGTTTATGTAACGGTACAGTTTATCTGGCGCCAATGAACACACGGTGAACGTGGTCAAATATGACATTTGTCATATATGCATTGCTGAAGAATAATGACAATTATTATGGAAATACAACTTCTTTTATTCTGTGGAGGCGATACTTGTCATTATTCTTCATCAACTCAACTTCTAAAATGCCCATCAAAGAAGTCATATGCATTGCTGTTTGTCAGTAAAAATATATTCTAGAACTTGTTTGAGTAGAGTCTCATCCAGGATTCGACCTCACCAACACAGAGGAGGATCCTAATAGCTAACACACGATCTAACCCAAACTGCCACTGGTTCGTGTTTGTTGCGATTAGGTGACTCCTGACAGTGTGGGTTCGAATAACTTCTTCACCTCTGAGAAAGTGTAAACCCCAGTTATGTGTTGCGTCAGTCTAGACTACTCGGTGGTATGTAAACAGCTTCCGTGACGTGCCGGGCGGTGGGGTAGCCTAGTGGTTAAAGCGTTGGCTCGTCACGCCGAAGACCAGGGTTCGATTCACCACATGGGTGCAATGTGTGAAGCCCATTTCAGGTGTCCCCCGCCTCGATGTTGCTGGAATATTGCTCAAAACGGCATAAAACAAAACTCACTCACTCCTTGAGCAAAACATCCGCAAAACGAACAGCGGAATTATTTTATTGCAAAAGATGCTTTATATATAAAAATTTACAATACATTCTTGCCGTATTGCTTAGTGAACTACACGTGATAAACCTTTCATTTAATAACTGAAAAAATAACGACACCGAGTATTGATATTCAGCATTTAGATCCAATCCATAAATCCACACACGTTCCTCTATAAAATCCTTGAATTAATCAACCAATGGTGGATCGTGTGTTGAACTAAACTCAGTCAGTCAGTCAGTCCGTGACGTGACACGGAACTTTCCGGCCTGAATGTTGACAATTTACGATTGAGGAAGCAGGATGTAATTGAGTACTCTGTTCATGCTGTGGCTGGTTTGCCCATATGTGGACGACAAGACATGACATATACCTCCTAGAAGTTACGCTCACCTTTTCGCGAATACCTGGTGAGGTGATGTGAAATTGGGTTTAACGCTAATATTTCGCTCATATGACGACGTGCATGCGTGTGTATGTGTATGTGCGGCTGCTTGTACTAGCCCCCCACTCAGACACATTATACTGACTCCGAGCCGACCAGTCCTTGTTGTACCCATTAATGCCGAGCGCCAGGCAGGGACCAACAAGTACCATATTTTAACGTCTTTTGGTATGACGCGGTCGGGGATCGAACCCACGACCTTCCGCTCTCCGGGCGGACGCTCTAACCACTACACCACGGAGGCGGTTGCGAATACCTGGTATCATCACTTACTGATGGCGATTCATAAACACATGATCATGATCGTAATTCAGCCGCGTAGCAAGCCAATTCTTTCTTGTAAGCCCGATAGGATGCAAAACATTATATTTAGGTAGTATGGAGGCCTTGTCCAACTTTCATTTATTTTAGACTTGAAGTGTTATCGTTGGACGTTTGATGATTTCAATAACTTCAAAATTGTGTTATGTTATCAATATTTTGAAATCATAGGGAGAAGATAGAGTAGTCTATCATTAATTCAGACAGAATAATCATTTGATTGAAATGTGATTTCTCATATGCAAATATGGTTTGACATTGTTTAACGCATGTTTACGGCATTGATACAATACCATACATCGAGTATTTGTTAGGCTTTTTTTAAATGAAATAATAAACAAATGAAAATATACAAAGAAGGGCGATTGTAAATAGCTGCATGTCAGTTATGATTCACATATAATCAGGACTGCAACAAAACATTACATGATTATTGCAGTCATATGATTTATAGAGGGATTTAAATTTCCACTTTTTAAATTGTCCGAAAACGTGTTTGTACGTATTTTTGGCAAGAAATAGAAGACAAAAATATTTTTTTAGCCCAAATCATGTGTTACCCCGGGCTTTTTTTATAATGGTAGCTATGCCCCTGGAATTATACAATCGACTATGCTTTTAGCACAGATTCATGATGGATGTGGAAAGTTCACTTTATTAAACACTTTGCTATCCAACCGATTCCGATGGTTTCTTGGACAGGCAAGTTAACAAGGCGTCAACGATTGCGCACAGTACTTAGAAATCCTACTAGTATATGTAAATTGTGGGTTGTTCATAATTGTCTTCCGTGTATTTGTAACTGATGATGCAGTGAGGGCCTGAAGGACGGAAAGACTGTACGGTGAACCCGATTTCTTATGGATGTGGATATGGATGTGGATATGGGTGTGGATATGCTGCTTTTAGTTGTTTGTTGGCACAGAACAGGATAGAACAGAACAGAACTTTATTTCAATAAGAGGCCTCCGGCCCAAAATGTATATACATACTTTGATAGATAAGTAGAGTACATGTATTTTATTAAGATTTGTGTTTCTTGTCAACAAAGTAAAAAAATAGACGTACATCCTTATATGATATTAACATTTTTACTCCGTAAGATAGATATAAAATTCATAATTGATGGACATTTACTAATATATTTTGATTTGTACTTATTTCTAATATGAGAATATGTATCACATATATAAAACACATGCCATTCATCTTCAACAACATAATAATAGCTGAAGGTATGATGTAAATCCAGCTAGGGTCCATGCAGGAAGCAAATGTACTGTAAGTCCCCATGGT